CTCACTGCCTAACGCGAGGCACTCGTGACAGCTTCACGCCCGCCCAGCGATGATACAAGCGGCTTGTAAATATCATTTCGCGATATTGGACTTATATACCGCGCCATGAGGACCCTCCTTCCACTGTCCATCGTCACGAGTCGGTAGTCGAGAAGCAGATTGGGCGTCATGGCCGCCAAAAAGAGGTCAGCCGTGGCGGTAGCCTTCCGCGTGCTGTACAACTCCATCTACCTCATCCTCTACACCATCCTCGCGGCCCTCCTCCTCGCGCTCGCCGCAGACGTCATCCGCCAGGCCGTCCTCCGCAACCAGACCTTCAACATCCTCGTCATTGCGATCGCCTACATCGTCACCATCCTGGTTCTCGCGTTCATCTACGCGATCCGCCTCTACATCAACCGCTCCGTCCTCGCGTCGATCCCGAAGTCGTACCTCCCCATCGAGAAGGGCGATCTGATGAAACACGTGCGCAAGATGATCATCGCTGGTCTGAGCAGGAGTGCGGCGATTGCGTATGCTGCGCGGCCGAGGGTTGCGCCAAACGACGACTTCCCGGCGCATCTGCTGGGAGGTGAGGGTGAAATGGCGGAGGTTGGACAGGCGAGAAAGGAGAGGAGGTCTATTCCCCCGTTTAAGCTGAAGAAAACGGTTACGGTGGAGGATGAGATGGGTATCAGCCTGCCTCCTGTCCGGGCTGTCTGGGGCGAGATCGAGCATGCGGGATGGGGTTCGCCGACTTCACCAGATCTACCCGATCTTCAATACGCGTCCGTCATCTCTGAGCTGCCCAACCTCATAGAGGCGAAAGCTATCACCCTCGCGCCTCCGGACCCAGAGTCTCAAACCGACCCTCCCACGCTAGACCCCGACGCCGTGTCCCTCCTCCAAAGAACAGAAGAGATGGGCCTCCGCGACTACCTCGCCCACCTAAGCGACCTCGGCGTGCTAGAAACAACCCAAAACACAACCAACTTCACAGCCAAGTACGAATACGCCCGCTTCTCCACCCGGCCCCTCCCCAACACCCGCTTCCGCGAGTTAATGCACCTCTTCGCCGAGGTCCTACGCGCAATGAAACCTCTCGACCCGGACGTCCTATCCTCCCTCCTCGACCCAGCCGAATCCTTCTCTTCCCACCCGGCTGAAAGCGACATAGACAACAACGCGCCCCTCTCGCACACGGGCAACAACCGCACACCCGAATCCAGCATCGCGCGCTCCCCGAGCTCGAGCACGGCCAGCTCCTCCAGGTCGCGCGTGGTGCGCCAACAACAGCAGCAGCAGCGAACGCCGCCTGGTATAGGGGCGGTGCGAAATTCCTCGGCTAACACGTGGGGGCAGTCGTTCCGCACCGCGCCGACGACGCCGAAGAGCAGGAGGACGGTGACGGGGGTGTCTATGACGAGCAGCGTGAACAGCTTCGCGCAGACGAGGAATCCGTATCTTGTCGGTGGTGCGGGTTCGAGTGCGAGCGCGAGCGTGAGGAGCTCGGATGCGGGCAGCGTGATTGTTAGGCCTGTGGAGGATGATGGGGAGGGGGAGGGGATGCCGTATGTGTTGACGCTGACGGATACGAGGAGTAGTGCTGGCTGAGGAATGGACGGGAGAGAAACCTGTCGTCCTTCCAGAGGGGGTTTTATGGCCGGGTGGCGCCCTGTGCTGGTGCTTTCCGATCAAGATGGACGATATGCATAAGCCCTCCGAGAGACGGCCGGACGGCGTCTCTGCGCCGACTACGAAGACACGAATTATGAACGGGAAGGAAAACAATCGAGCCTCGATCTTCGACCGCCGATCAACAATGTATACTCTAATCAATAATCTAATAAACAACCGACTTATCAACCACCAAACCAAGTTTACCCCATTACCGTCACCGTTGCTTTTTCCGACACCACCATCAGCAGCAGCATCGTGGCGATATGCGAAGGTACAAGCGACGGGCGAGCGTCATCTGTGGCTCGATCGCCAGGTATGATCTGGCCTGCACGGTTGCCTTTTGAGGCGAGCCTGCAATGGGGGTGTCAGCGGGGGATTTTCTTAAGGAACACCCGCCGCTCGGATTGAACGACAGAACGGTACGTTTAATGTTTTGGGGAGGGGTGGACCTGGCCTCTGTCGAGCCAGGGTGTGAGTCCCTGTTGACCAGCGGCATGATACCGTCTGGTCGTGTGATGTGGTGTGGGGGTGGAGACCATGTCTGTGTAACACACATCTCGAGCAGGGCCAATCGGAAAGAAGAAGTGACAGCTTACCAGGTACCTTGACACGTGACCTCACGGGCGACTTAGGTGGATGACGGAGGGAGGCATCTCAGGATGTCGTCGAGCTTGTTGCTCATATCCTGAGCTCTCTGTTCGGCGGTGACGGTCGTTGACGGGAGAGGGTCGACAAGGATGTTGCCGTTGCCGGCCGGCTCCTCGACGAAGGCCTTGAGTTGCTGCTGCCTGAGCTGCTTGCGCTCCTGGCGCTTGAGGTTGGGGTTGGATGCCGTTGGTCTATGGTACAGTGGAATGTCAGAGGGGGGCCTTAGCAGACCGGGAGTTGACAAGGGGGGCATGACGGGAGAGGTGGAAGGACAGAGGGGGGACATACTCAGCCATGGCAAGGTAAGGTTCTCACGGCTCTCGGTGAAAGTCAAGTCCCGTTACAGATTACTGACAGAGTGTAGTAGATGTGTTTGCAGCTTGGGTGTAGAGAATTGGTCTAGAGAATATCCAAAGAACAGAGTCAAGAGAGGGCGGCCCTTCCTGCCTTATATGTGCGTTCATCGTGAGCGTCCAAGATGTTATTCTTCCTGTAATGGACAATTACCAGATCCGTCCCCTCGGGCGTGTAAGCACTGGACAAGCGCATGTCATTAGGACCAGGGCCGGAACCGACACCTATCAACTGCAGTTGGGTACGCGGGAACAAGCTGCAGGATGGTCATAAAGTGCAGGTTTCGTCATTCGGAGTCCAAATCGATCGAAATTCATGAAGTTCATGAGTTCGACCCCTCCAGCCCATGCAGAAGTCAGCCATACAAACGACGGGGTTTGGGCTATCTGCTTGCACTTGCATGCCGTTACCGAACCTAGAACCACATCGCATTTGTCTTCTTTCCGCGGCAGTAAGTCTACGTGCCACATACTCGATTACTAGCGTTGCTGGTCTGGATGACATCCGTCAAACATGCATATGTGTGGTAGCCGGTCGAGGCCATGGACCGGGGGGGGCATTGGCTGCATGAGATGGTGGCGCTCGTAAGGCGCTGCAAGGCGTCCACTCTGCCGCCGCGGCGCGCTGCTATGTGCCTGCAGAGACATCCTTTCCACCACGATCGGTGCCCTTTGCCCTTTTTCACCTCCGATGAAGGCGGGAGGGGGGACCTCCAATGAAGGCGGGAGGGGGGACCTCCAATGAAGGCGGGAGGGGGGACCTCCAATGAAGGCGGGAGGGGGGGGGGAGTCCATGTCCCTAAGGTGCCCACAATAAATTGGGACGGAGTCCCAGCCCACAAGAAAAATGGACTGCGTCTCGAATTCACACGACATGGCTCGCCTGCGTGGCAGGCATGGTTCCCTTCCCGGTTTCCCACCACTGCCCATCATATTGGATGAAAAGAGTTCCTGCCCACAACAAATCGGGACTGAGTTCCAATTCTCAGGAATGGGGCCGTGTCCCTATTCTCATGAAATGGGGACGTGTCCCTATCTCCAGAATTTGGGACTGTGTCCCAATCCACCAATGATTGGATTTTGGAACTCTGTCCCCCCCCCTGCCTTGGGCTGTGTTCCTAGGTGGGCAAGCTGTCCAGCTCGCGCATCATGAGACGCTTCATCTTCGAGAGTGAGGGTCCGTTGATCGTGTCTTTCCCTGCGATAGCGGGCTGCTTGTGTGAACACACCTCCACATCGCATGCAGAATGGTTGCTCACAGTCTTCGATACCCTTGGCCTGGGAAGGGAAGCGCAACAGCCAACCCTGTCTCGACTTGCTCACCAACGAACAATATCCCTCCTGACCTCCATGGGCCCAACTTCATGTCATCGGTCCGAGAGGCTCGGTCCCATCCTCCAACCCCCGGTTCCCTGCGCCCGATCAAAGTCACTGAACATGATCACTGTCGGCGAGCGCCAACGCTTCACCGTGCCCCGGTGAGCAACGGATTGGTCGTCGAGATGTACAACAAACCCGGCACAGATGATAGCGTTGGCTGCATACCCGAACCGGCGGATAGTCTCAGCATGCCGGATCCTTTGGCTCTCTCCGCCGTGACCTTCTCCATATAGCAGGCTGACCTACAAACATCAATGTGCGATTACCTATACGCCAGACCCTGAAGCCCCCTGTTACTGAGGCAACACCGAGCGAGCTGGACGTCAGAAAGGACATACACAATCCAACGCTCCAACACGACATCAACTTCGACCCTGAGCTGCACTTCCGACCGAACCTGGATGGCGAGAGGGCTGGGTGAAGCAATCCAGACGCCGTATGATACCCAGCGTCCGTCTTGCATCTTTTCGTCGGTGCCCCCAGTATACAACGGTTCTGCCCGCGACTACGCAGCAACCACTTGATGGCCGGCCTGCTCAGACTGACCATAGGCCCGCTGCGCCAGCAGGCAATTGGAGGGGGCTTGTCACACAGTGGCGTCCTAGCTGTCGGATGTATATCAGCAACCCTTCACCTACACCTGGATTAGGATTACGCATGGGAGCGCGGTACCTAGGTCCATGACTGGATGAACACACGATTGGGTGACGAAACGACGATCGGCATGGTCATCCTACCACAGGTGTATTCTATCCCTGATGATGGCTCGTCCATACGACATTGTTTGGTTGTCGAAACTGGTCCGCCCTAGGTGCTGGCTCTTCTGGATGGAAAGATGGACCCTGGTTCTCGACATCAGCACCTCGACACCGTCATGACTCGATCATCACCCACCTCCATGAGATCCGATACCAGCCGGGCTCTCCGGCGATCCACGCCCGCTCGGATCAACAGCTTATCGCCCGGTTAGCTCAATCGGTAGAGCGTGAGACTCTTACGAGAGACATATCTCAAGGTTGCGGGTTCGACTCCCGCATCGGGCTCAATTCCCGATGGACGACCATCACGATTTTTTTGATTTTTTTCTGTTTTGGGGGTCTTCGATTGAAGGGTCGAAGTTGGAGCGTGCGTTGTGGCATAAGGGTCTCAAAATTTTGGACTGACTCGAGTCATGCATTATCCCGAAAGACTGGACTGTCGCGCCTTTTCTATTCCGCACAAACATGAGACAAACAACGACGACTTGGAAGCATCCACATCGGGACCATCCGTTCTCCATCCAACGGGTCCAGGGGGTGTAGCTCATCTGGTAGAGCGCGTGCTTAGCATACACTCGATGAGCAATCATCGGCTACATGTTCCTGCACGAGGTACTGGGTTCGACTCCCAGCTCCTCCACGGTTTCTTTTTTTGCTCGTTGTGACAAGTTTGGCTCCCCGAGTCGATATCTGTCTGTGACACGACAGTTTTTCACCCCTGAGCACTCGGATGTCAAATTGTGAGGCCTCTCGAGTCCAAGGTAACAAGACCATGCAAAAGATATCTGTCATTTACCACGTATTCCTTCCTCCATGCACGAGTTACTCCAGGGTCAGCACTCCCGTCTGTCTTCGACTCTTCGGGAATGACGTTTGTACGACGCGACATGCAAGGCAATGCAGGTCCTGCGCATCCAGCAACCAACCGCGTTTATTGGTAGATCAATATTTACCAGGCCAGCTCTTTTACTGGCCCGTCATTGTGCAGAATGTGAAAATTGTTTTCTCACTACCAGGTAGTTGGGAGATGGAGCCGTCGGCGACGGCACCGCATGGATCATCCCACGGTGCCACGACTTGCAGTGCCCTTTGACAAATGAGGGAATGAGGGCTTGCATGTGGATGTTACCACAGGAGGGAGCGAGTGTATTCTAAAGTGACGAGGTCAGAGCTCACTCGTCATCATCTCAAGATCTTCACAAGCATTGTTGTCCCTATCAAGGCCATCGGAGGTCGACGGATGATGGTAACAGCAAGTCTGATGTGCACCAGCAGCCAGCTTGGACGGCAGTATCCGCGGATCACGCTGCGCGACTACCAGTTAGCCCTGTGGCTTGTTGCCTCGCGGTGTTTCGAGCATGAAGCAGACTTTGAACGGTTTGGGTATTCCCGGGTCGGACTTGAGATGGGTAACGGAACTAAGAAGCACGCTTATGATTAGACTTCCAAGTGGGACGTATTAGTATATCTACCAACCCTCCAGAACAACAAGACCATATACTCGATAACGTCATACATACTCACCCCTTCTGTATCGGAGGGGGTTGGCTTCAATTGCAAACGCGCTTGATGTGTCGTGGCCCTGTGCTTGTCCAAGCCCCCTTCCAGAACTCCTGGGTCTCAGCGAAAAGAGACCAGACATTAGTCTAGATCTCTGTTATGGATTTCAACCGAGTGTAGGTCGGGATCATTGTAGGTCATTGGAGAGCCCCGACGGGACTGCATATCGCGCGTGTTATCATATGTCTATGACCCCGGGACGCGACATTCGTATGGCTAATCACGTATTGGCCGGCAAAGGTTGCAATAGTTGCAGAGTCAAAGGCCAATAGCCACCAGATTCATGGTGACACACCAGAACCCGGCCGGCAGCACACCTATTGTTTGATGTTTCCCTCCTGGCTGTCTGTTTATGTTATGGAAGCGGTCATGGTGTGGGAAGTGATAGGTCTTCGCGTCAATTCCCGAGTCGCACTTCTATGCAAGACAGAACTGACAGGCTGTGGGAGACCTGTCTGGCCAGTAGGCATGCCCCTCCACCCCGACTTATCGTGTGCGGAGCCCTGGGTTTGTCTCGGCGCTGACCAGCGCTCAAACACTGACCTCCCCTTGCTCACGGAGTACATATTTATACCGTTCTTCACCAGAAACTGATGAGACGCGGCTTTGGGCTTTGACACGCGTTGGCACTCCAACCTACTCTTCGCTTCATATGGGCATTCAAAGCAGCTACCTCCGCCGTATAAGTGTGTTCTCTCCCCCCTCGACGGCCATGGACTCTATACCGAAGCTCCTTTCTCCGAAATTACGATTCTAACCTCGGATAGTGGACCATCTTACCACTCTCCACGTACCCGATAGCCACATACGGCTTGCACCATGTCGTCGATACCTAGCACCAGTGCATCACTGTTCCAAGGGTAGGATCTTACCAAATATATCCGACCTGAGCCGGCATCTTATCATCTGTCATTCTGTCTAACTCCGTCTCTACAGGTCCGCGCCACCCAAGCCCGACCACTCCCTGACGTGTATCAACCAAGATTCCTCGTCTCTACGTGCTTCCCGGATCGCCTCCTTTATCAGCGAGCCTCCTTCGGCAGGCAACACTCTTGTTCGTCTCGTCTGTACATTCGGCTCCAAAGCTAGCATGCCTACTCCATCAATGGACTGTGCGCTTAGGCCGAGCGTGCAAGAGAACACCAACTCTACTCCCGACGACCTCGGGAAAGTCACCCTGTCCAAACGATCTTCGGGTCCTTCGTCATTCCCTATGACTGGTGCTTAACTCGTAAGTCCCATGATCTGTACTTACTCTGTTCCCTTGATTCCAAGAGTCTAAGAACCTGAGCTGACCATCGTCCATCGATGCGGTGAAAGGATAAACCACTACATGGCACGTCCATGTTTGCGGTGACAAGGACCATATCCACCACGCAGAGAACATTCCCAGAAGCTCAGAGCAACGTATAGCGTATTACCTTTCTCAACATCACCATTCTCCAACGATTGAACGAATTCCACGCCCCTTTCGCAAATAGACAACCTCTGCCCGGCACGCTTCATCACCTCAACGGCCGACATCAACAATATCCTGACAACATCAAAGCATCATTCGCACTCTTGTTCTATAGTAGTTAAAAGTGTCTCAGTCCTACGCCAGCGACTTGACTCAAGACTCTTCCATCTTCGGGGTGAACAATTCCGGTTACGTCAGGAAAGGGGTTCAGGGGATAGTAAACAATGGATCATCGCACGAGGATCAAGGAAGGACAAGGTCAGACAAGCTGGCATTCACATGGCGGAAACACTCGATTGTCAAAGATCCACCGTCATGCACAATCTTCTTCATATACGGAGGGTCGCGGATGAACCCTTGTGATATCGCATGTCCGTCATCTGTCACCTACCCTATACCTCTTCGCAGCCGAGCTTCTCTTGATCTGAAGATAGACAACGTGCATAACAACCTTTGACGAGGGGATACGATGAGGCTGTAAGTACAGACAAAGCTCGATTACGGTCGCTATTTGCTCCTAGTCACTGTCCCTGAATTTCGGGTGGTCCTGTCTCCATGTATTTGCGAGCCACAACTATAGCACAGAGTCTTCCAATCTCAATCATAAAACAAGTATACCAGCGTCCAATAATATCAACTGGCCGCTTTAATCTGCATGGCCGATAACAATCACCATTCCCCCGAGTGAAGCCAGATCAGTATGCGTGCGTAGCAATACACATATCCAACCTCCACCACGACCGCCACCGCCTCATCCCGCATCCACACCCCAACACTCGTCAAGCCCCCTAACGACTCGGTCATCATACAACAAACCCCCGGGTCTTGTGGCTCAATGGCAGAGCGTCTGACTACGAATCAGGAGGTTGCAGGTTCGACCCCTGCCAAGATCATCATCATAGGACGTCGAAGTCCAAAATCCAATATTTTTTTTTGCTTTCGTGGGGTGGAGGTGGACATGACTCGTTGACATGCAGCGCCGAGTTAGGGGTCGCTCATCACAGCTAGAGCACTGCTGCCAGGAAGAGGGCTATGAAGGCAAACATGCTGCTGGGCGTCACAAAACTGGCTGTCTGCAGCTAAACGGGACGCATCACAGGTAAGGAGTTAAAGGCATGGGATAGGGTAGGTGAGATGGGACGATGGGAAGATCACGAGCAACTCGTTTGCGGCCCCGACAACCGACGTGATCAATTAGGGAGATACGGACCAAGTGCGAAGATAATTGTAGATCCCACCACTGAAGTGGTACAAGATACATAATAGAAGAGAAACCGAAGTATCACTCACAAGCGCCTGAACCTGATACTGATCAATGTTGTTGTGGGTCTGGAAGAAAAGAAGATCATAAAAGGTAGTCTTGGCGTTGGTATTATACAGCCTCCAATCACAGAGGCGGCGTCATACCATCTTTGTTGGAGTCTTACCACAGGGGAAGTGCTCCGACCTCTTGGCACCACTCGACAGCAACGACATATGCTGCCCTGCGATGCCGTGAGAAGTCGTCTTGCAAAGGTCCATCGCACATGACCAAACCGGCTGCTTAGACGATTGGACGATCAGGGCAGGGAACGAACGGCCGGGCTGGAGGGCTCGATAATGACGACCAGCGATATGTGACGAGTCTTAGACGCATACAGTTGAATATTCGTTGGTATCTCAGGCCAAGGTGAAATAGAGATTTTGCAAACTTATGAGGTGTTCTGGTGATCGCAGCGGACCGGTATCTAGGAGAGAATGGTTAGATGATGGCTACGGGCGTACCAGGGAATATGGTCGAGTTCACGACAGATTTACAAAGGCAAGTCAGAACCCATACCCTGTGGAAGCAACAATCATCACAAACAAAAGGGATTTCGACAGATTTTGTCTATTTTCCTTTGTAGTCCAGGTCTCACCGAAACAGATTCCAGTGCCGAAAGCGGGATAACGATCAAGTCCACCCCTTAGTTGACCACACAGGGCTTTCCCTCTCCCCGTAACTAGCTAGCCACGGTTGCGAGTATCTTTCCCTCATAAGTGCGGTGCAACGTTGACCCTCGACAAACCGGGAAAATCCATCAGGTATAAGAGAAACCAAGAACCCACAACGCGGAGAAGTTGATGGAGACCGAAAAAGAGAAAAGGGCAATCGTTCGGATAGTTTTTCCTCCCTCCAGATACCACGCCGACCAAATACGCCTGATGATGTGATCCCATTTCACGCCTCAACCAAGCATAACAACCCCTTGTCGACAGACCCTGCAGCTTCCCATACTGGCGACCA